AACCTTATGTTAGTCCCGAAATGACCTAGTTTGTGTCGAGTGGACGTTAAACCCCATTTCTCTCTCTCTCTCTGCCTCTTCAGAAAATCAAGTTAACAGTAAAATAATAGCTTTTGTAAGCAATGTCACCCTTCTGTTGGCCACGCCCATTTTAGGTATTTTGCCTAAATCACACCAATAGATGGAAGTTAAATGCACATAACTTCTGTCATAGTGAAACCATCTTTGCATATTTGGTATCAATATGTTGCTTTTAAGTAACTCTTCATCACTGAATTTAGTTAGTAATTTTATATTTTCATTTGTGACCTTCAGAAAGGTCAAATTCTATTTTGAGGTGCAAATTTCCTTTAAAATTCATTTTTGTTTGGCCCTAAAAGACAAAATAGGAAAATCAACTTGTTGCAGTTTTCAGACTCTCTTGAGCGTAGTATTCAATCATATTTTTACTATAATAGATCCTCTGCTGTAGACCTATACTTTCCCAAGAATAATTAAAGGTTTAATGTGAGGACATTAAGTTAAGAGACAAAAACAAAAATTTGTGTTTTAAATATGAAATTTTTTTATGGTGTCGTATCAGCTTATTTTGGCTACTGCATTTTTTGATACTGACCGTAGTAGGCCCGCAGCCAAAATTTATAGCGTGAAGTTCCGCTACATGGTCCTCCCAAATAAACAAACTATACATTTTTGGAAACCTTATAACACCAGGAACACAAATCCAGAGAGTTCCAAGCAAAAAGTCTGCACTAACTCGATTTAGGGCCAGATGAAAATTGTGATAATTGTCAAGTAAATGCAATATTTATATTAATAATTGTGAAGTTGACATAAAATTTAATATTGGCAAAAACACTTGATGCCTTCATCCTATGCAAAGAATATGCTGTTGGTGAAATTTTGATTGAAAGCAAAATGCAGAAAACATAATGGACAGGGAAACAAACAGAATTTGAGGCTAAAGGTTTAACAAATATTTAACCTGAAACATAGCATCTACAGATATTTAGTTTTCTCACTAAAATAGATATGGCCAAAATTATATAATACTGTATTGGGAGTGACAATATTGTAATGAAGAGAAAAAAATATCAAATGGAGTTTAATGTCTTACTGTTCTGTACCAACCCATATAATGAAGATGGGCGTACATCATACATTATTGTTTGAGTGGGGGGGGGGCATTGTACGTGTACAACTAGTATGCAAGTGTGCAAGGGAGCCGCGGTGACTCAGTAAAGGGCTGGCTCACTTACCGGGCGGCCCAGGGATTGATCCTAGTCTGGCGTAGTTTCTCCTTGTCCGTGGCTCACAAATCAGGATGTCCGGGGTTTGATCCCCTGTATTGACCAAGACAGTTCCCCAAACTTTCCAGCATTGTTTCCCCTTGTCAGTGGTGCAGGAAGAGGGGCGGGTGGGGGGGGCTGTGATGGGCAGCATCTAGTTATTCGGATGGAATATAAAACTGAGGTCCCGTGCACACATTGACATGCACGTAAAAGAACTTTAAATTTGAAATAAAGAGTAGACTGTAACGTTGCTGTTTGGACCAAATCCCCCCATAGCCTAATGTATGGCAGGCGTATGTACATCTTCATTATGACGGTTGATTTTTTTTCTCTTCATTACAATTGCCACTGCCTTACAGTATTATTTAGGTTTTGCCATATTTCTATTTTAGTGAGAAAATTACATATAGATGCTTTGTTTCAATTCAAATATTTGTTCGGATTTTAGCCCCAAATCTAATCTAAACTAGAAGTTTACATATATATTAGTAGAAATACTGTTTTGGGAGAGCTTATATGCTCGCCCGCCCTCCCAGATTGGTTGAACCGTCCATTTTTTGGGCAATGTATTTCAGTTTTTCAGGCACAAGCTTCAAATTCATTTTAGTTAATGATTGATTCATTCAGAATATTTGGGTAACAACTTTTTCAGGCAAATAGGCTCAGCCCCCCCCCCCCCAACTCAGATTAGCCCCCTACACCCCCTTACCTGTTGTTCAATTCGATTCAGTTTGTTGAATCAAATATTGTTTCAACCATTGTTTTCCCTCCCATCCAAGCGACAGGGCATTGTCCTTCCAGCCAACTCCCATCCCGTACCACTGACAGGGGGATACATGTACATACCTAAATGTAAATGTAGTAAATGTGAAAATGAATCAAAAAGACTGTTAAAGAAACCCAACTTGATGTTTATACATGTAGTGAGAGTGATGATGATAACGACTAACTTTGATGACATTTAAAGTGCAGGGTAGCTGCATAATTTTGATTTTCAATGACTGTTTTACTTCAATAAATAATGTTTGTCTTTAATCTATATTTGTTACCAAATTAAACAATTATAGATATCGTTTCAGTTTAAGTGTTTGTTATTCGACCTTAAATATCTTAACTAGAGGTTTACAGCAAGCTGTAGTAAAAATAAAGTAGGGTCTAACTGAAAGGGTATATTGGTGTGGGTTTATGTTTTAGTGGAAAAAATCACGTGGTTTGAATGCGATTTACAAAACTAGCCACATAGTCTGGTCTCCATTACTTCATAGACATATTGCTCAACCAATGTCAAACATATCTCCTTGCTCATCTGATTAGGCGCTCCTCCCATAATTTCTGGGTAAACATCCGCTCACCAACCCTTGCAGTCCCCTGTGACCCCATTAATGATATAAATAATGGGCTTGCGTGCTCACACATGGTCTTGTGCGTCATACAAAATTTAGCAGTCAACACGCACCTGAAATACGGTTACCAACTGCAGACATTTGACAGAAAGGGAGATAACTCTCTATTACCATTAATGGATATCAAAAATTCTGTATGTTCCCTTGTCCATTATGTTTTGTGCATTTTGGTTTAAATCAAAATTTAACCAATAGCATATTCTTTGTACGGGATGAAAGCATCGGGTGTTTTCACCAATATTTAATTTTATGTCATCTTCACAATTATTAGTATAAATATAGCATTTACTTGACAATTATTACAATTTTCATCTGGCCCTAAATCAAGTTAGTGCAGACTTTTTGCTTGGAACTCTCTGGATTTGTGTTCCTGGTGTTATAAGCTTTCCAAAAATGTATAGTTTGTTTATTTGGGAGGACCATGTAGCGGAATTGTGTTTCTAAGCAAGCTAGAAATTTTGGTTGCAGGCCTATAGTAGAAAAATCCTAATTTCGATCGACTGATGATATCCGTTTATCCATCGAATAAACGATGACAGTAATTTATTCAGGAATATTACTGACTTTAACTTCAAGTCATATCTTAGTCTATTCAGTATACGACATTCTCTATAAGAAATTACCAAAAATTATTTTTGTTGATGTCTGGTTATATTAAAGTTAACAAGAGTTTTTAATCACCCTATTTACTACCGGGACCTCATTTGACCCAATTCTGACCGGTTGGTTTCAAATGGATTAAAATCATTGTTCTTATCAAAAATGCTAAATAAGATCTCCTCAAGAGATTCGGGAGAGCTTTCTCAGGAGTGCGATTTACCCTTTTTATACACCCACATGGAAATGTGGTTGCATATTGCCGTCGCCCTCGTCCGTCCGCCGTCCACAATTTCTTGTGAACACTCTACGTACTACATTTATCATCTGATAATTTTGAATTTGATATATGTTGTTTGCATTAGTGAGAAAAGAAGCCTATTTAATTTCAATAACTTCCGATAATTTCTTCTGGAGTTATGGCCATTGTTTCAATTTGTTGCACCCTGTGAACGCTCTGACAAAAGTTATCAACTGATCTGTATGAAATTTATATGCATCATTTAAATTAGTAATACAAAGAATCCTATCGAATTTCAGCAATTTCCGTTCATTACATCTTGAGTTATGGCCCTTGTTTCACTTTGTCGCACCTTGTAAACGCTCTAATGACTCAAGTTATCATCCGATCTGTTTAAAATTTATATGCATCATTTAAATTAGTGAAACGAAGAAGCCTATTGAATTTCAGCAATTTCTGTATGAAATTTATGCATTATTTAAATTAGTAAAACAAAGAATCCTATTGAATTTCAGCAATTTCCGTTAATTACGCCATGAGTTATGGCCCTTGTTTCACTTTGTTGTACCTTGTGAAAGCTCGAACGACAAAAGTTATTACCCAATCTGTATAAAATTCATATGCATCATTTAAATTAGTGAAATGGAGAAGCCTATTTGAAAGTCAGCAATGTCTGTCAATTACTTCTAGAGTTATGGCCATTGTTTTATTTTGTTAAACCTTATGAATGTTAAACGACAAAAGTTATCATCCAATCTGTATGGAATTTATACGCTTTATTTGAATTAGTAAAACGAAAAAGCCTGTCAAATTTCTGTAGATTACTTCCAGTGTTATGGCCCTTATTTTAGTTTTTAGAACCTTATGTGAACCCTCAAATGACGAAAATTATAATGTCATCTGTATGAAATTGTCTATTAAATGCCACTAATTACCTACAAAAGAATAAATATGCGACAACCCTTGTCGACCGCTCGGACGATTTAGCTGCTGTGGGTGTATGTTTTGTTGCCTGGCAACCTATTTTCCAATTTCAGGAGAGCTTTTTTTGACTCCGGGAATATATTCATGTGAAGGCCTGATAATTTGAAAGTAAACCATATGTGTACTTCCTCAGCATAAAAACCTCGAAGTACACGGTACCAGATCTACAGTGTGTAATTATACAGGCTTCACTAAAATGAAAAAAAAAAAAAAATGATTTACAAGAAAGACGCAAGAGAAATAATGTGACCAATCTTGACTGTGGTCATCTCTTGAATGGCAATAGTCTGCCAGTTGACGTCACAAGGTCGAACATCAAACAATTTTAACAACAAGGGCGATAATCTCAACAGAATCTCAGAAAATGCTAAAATAATGAATAATAAAGTGTAGTGAGCAAACAGTATTGAGTTCTGTTATCTAAACGACCGTATTAAGAGATGTTATCTGAAAGACAATAAGAATGCTGAAGATAAAACTTACCCTGACATCGTAAAAAACATATTCTGGATCATAATTGATATTATTCAATAGTAAATACTGAAATGAAATGAAATGAAATGGAGTTAAATGTCCTACTGTGCTGATGAAGATGGAGTAAATACTAAAAACAGAAATCATAATTTTTTTTTTTTTTTTACAAATGGTGAAACAATACAACTTGTTGGATATTCACAAACACAAAGTCTTTTACTCCTTCTCATTTGTCGCACATGCACAGAGCAATCCGTGTTCTTATTTAGTACCTGCTGATCACAAATGTATACAAACCACAAACAATTTGTCAATGAATATGCTGATGATGTATGTAGATTGTAGATCTACCCTTCTCAGTTGTTGTTTTTTTTAGAAAAGAATGATGACAAATGATATTTAATCATCAGCGGGTTCGCTGGTACGTTCAAACGGTACTGTGAGTGTTTTTCGATAATTATATATTTATCAATAATGGATGTGATAGATTTTTTGATTTAATGTTTGTGCGTAATCACCAGGACCATTTTGATGTGAAATATATGTATTGCTTTTGTATTTTGACCTATCTGTCATGGAGAATATTTACATTGTGTCGATCAGCTGTCAACTGTCAAAAATTCAAAATGGCCGCCCCGATGGGCCTGACGTTAGCAACCTTTATTGACAAATAGTTTGATCTCTGCAACTTTTATTGTAAACGCCATAGTGGTTGACTGTGCCTTGTTGTGCTCTGTGTTTTTCGTGCCTGTGATTTATTGTGGATTAATGTGGTTTTCGACATACAAATATATATTATTAATGCGCAGGCGTGGTAAAGCCGTTACTTTCAAATAATTGTATAACAGTTTTTGATAAGTTATAATTTGTTGATAAATTTGCGACAGATTTCAGTTCTATTGTCGTGCATGTGGAACATTTTTATTCGAAGTAGTGTTTGCTGTTTAAATGTAACTATTGCGAAGAAACATTTATTTATCGCCTTTTCATTAAAATTTAGGCCTAATTTTAGGAAGCCTAGATTGAAAACATTATGTAAGCGCCTAGGAGGCAGCTGTGTATTTGTCCTGCGTGTGTTTTTGTTTAAAATAGTAACTCTGAATGCAGTATTTTATCAAAATGTTTCATAATAATTTGTATCTGTTGTGGCTAGTGAGCTATCTGAATCAACTCACCTACTATCAATCACAACTGAACTCTTACAACAATAACATTCAAGCCAAATCTCATTGTTTTAGTAATAATAATAATAATATTAATAATAATAGAGGCGTGAGGAGTGGAAAGCAGTGGGTTAAAAAGATTGATGTTTTAAATCCAACTACTACTATTAGAAATGATACAGTAAAAAGACACAGAACAGTAAACAGGGGCAATCTTGTTACTATTCCAATAATTTCTGAACAAATCGATCAACGCCCAGACATTACACAATTGTGTCTTAATGCATGGCCCGTCGAAAATAAAACAGTCGCTTTGAATGATTATATATACGACAACAATGAAGTAATTGGGAGAAATCAAAGACATTTAAAAGTTATCACCACCAAGAGACCATATGAACCTCTAAACACTAATCCACTGAATATTAACATTAATCATAGCAATCTCATCCAGCTTACCTCAAACTCTATCAAAAATCACAAACAGATCAAAAACTTTAGAACAAAACAGAAGATAAATAACAATCTTATACAAATTAGAAAGGCGGTCGAAAATGAAGCGTCAGTATTAACAACTTCGTTTGGATTAATTAATGCCAGATCCGTAAGAAATAAAACAACAATTTTATCTGATTATATTTTTAAAAATTCTATTGATATTTGTGGAATAACTGAAACGTGGCTGAATAATGACTGTTCGGACTCATCGACAATCGCAGCTTTAGTACCTGATGGATATTCTATACAACATTGCCCTCGCGGTTCACGTGGAGGAGGCGTAGCACTTATATTTAAGTCATCTATTAAGTGTAAGAAAATCCGTCATGACCGTTTTGATTCTTTTGAAATTTTGGATTGTTCTCTACAGTTTTCTTTCAAGGAAACAAGGATTATTACAATTTACCGCCCGCCCAATAGCAAATTGTGTCAAAAGTTTATGGAAGAATTTGGATTATTTCTGGACGAGTTGATGATGACTCAGTGTTGCACTATTATTTGGGGAGATTTTAATTTTCATGTTGATGATTCCAACGACTCTACCGCGGTTGATTTTTGTGATATGCTGAACAATAGATCTCTCACACAACATGTTTCTTCTTCTTCTCATAACGGTGGACATATTCTCGATCTGGTGATAACTAATCCACGTGATATTAAACTGGATAATCTCTCTGTCTTGGACAAATTAATATCTGATCATTTTCTGGCAACTTTTAATCTTATGATCCAGAAACCACAACCAACAAGAAAGACTTTAACATATCGAAGGTTTAAATCATTTGACATAAATAAATTTAAAGCGGAAATAGTGAACTCGAATTTCAATGGCATTCAACGTATTCAAGATATACAAGAGAAGGCAACCCAATATCACTCAAAGCTTGCTGAAATTTTGGACTCGCTTGTTCCTCTTCAAACGAAAACATTTACGATTCGTCCCAATACGCAGTGGTTTAATGATTCTATTTTAGAAGCCAAAAGGGACCGTAATAAGGCTGAACATCTGTGGCGGAAAACAAATCTACATGTCCATAAACAGATTTATAAATCTTTAAAAAACAATGTGAATAAATTAATTGATGATGCTAAAATTAAATTTTACTCTGATAAAATAGAAAATGGCGAAAACAGACAAAAAGACCTGTATAAAGTTGTGAATTCCCTTTTGGACCATAATGCTGAGCGTACTATCCTCCCGGACAATGATAATGACATTGAACTTGCAAATTTATTCTCTGATTTCTTTCAAATAAAAATACAGAAAATACGAACTGAACTTGATGATTTAAATAAAACTATTTACTTTAACGCTCATGATTTTGATAAGTTAGAAAATTCTGTTTATTTAGAAAATTTTAACTTGGTTAGTGAATCTTTTATTTTAAAGCTAATTAAATCGTCTGCTCCTAAATCTTGTTCATTAGATCCTGTTCCGACTTCTGTTCTTAAGGACTGTCTAGACGAAGTTATTCCAGTTTTTACCAATATTATTAATTCTTGTATATCATCCGCTACTATTCCCAACGTTTTCAAACAAGCTTATGTTACCCCTTTAATTAAAAAGTCTACACTGGATCCTAATGTTTTTAAAAATTACAGGCCAGTCTCTAACTTAAGTTTTATTTCTAAAATATTGGAGAAATGTATTGCTTCTCAGATAAAGGCCCATCTAGATGATAACTGTTTGTATGATCCATTTCAAAGTGCTTATAAACAATTTCACAGTACCGAAACAGCTTTAATCCGGGTTTCAAATGATATTTTAATGGAAATTGATAATAGAAAATGTACATTTTTAATTTTATTAGATTTATCTGCTGCTTTCAACACGGTGGACCCTTCCATTCTTCTACGTAGACTTCAATTTAAATTCGGTATTTGTGGCTCTGCATTAAATCTTTTAGAGAGCTATCTTGTGGGTAGAAAACAGTGTATTTTAGTTAATTGCAAATCGTTGTCTGAATCTGTTTTGTCATCTGGGGTTCCCCAAGGTTCTGTTCTTGGTCCGATTTTATTTACCCTCTATACGTCACCATTAGGAGATATTGTCAGAAAATATGGTCTCAGCTTTCATTTGTATGCCGATGATACTCAATTATATATTTCATTTACACCTAATTGTCCATCTTCTTTCAATTTATCAAAATTGCAACTTGAGAACTGTATTAGTGAAATTAGAAAATGGATGTCAAAGAACTTTCTAAAATTGAATGATGATAAAACCAAATATTTGTTATTAGGCTCAAGGCATCAATTAAGTAAATCTGCACAAGATAACCCCCCTGTTGTAATTGGTAATTGTGATATATTTTCATCTTATTCTGCTCGTAATATTGGCGCTATGTTTGATAGTTTTATGCTTATGGGAGCTCAAGTAAATAATATTTGTAAATTGTGCTATTTTAATATTAGAAATATAGGTAAAATACGTAAATGTGTAACTGTAGAGGCCACTAAGTCACTTGTTAATTCTCAGGTCACTTCTCGATTAGATAACTTTAATTCACTTTTAGTTGGTTTTCCTTTAAAGCTTATAGATAAATTACAAAAAGTACAGAATACTGCGGCTAGACTTGTTACTTTAACTAAGAAATGTGACCACATAACTCCTGTTTTATATAATTTACACTGGTTACCTGTTAAATATCGAATTGATTTTAAGATTTTATTACTTACTTTTAAATGTTTAAATAATTTAGCTCCTGTTTACCTATCAGATCTTTTAGAACTTTATACACCTGGCCGAACATTACGTACATCAGATAAACTACTTTTAAAGCCCAAAACTGTTCAACTAGTCTCCTATAGTCAGCGCTCTTTTAGTTATCAAGCACCTGTTTTATGGAATAATCTACCATTTAGTTTAAGATGTTGTACATCTCTGTATTCTTTTAAAAAACAACTTAAAACACATTTATTTAATCAGGCTTTTAACTGACTCTGTATACAATTGTTAACATGCCCATAATCTTGTTGTTTATGTGTGATTTACATTGTCACTTTGTAAAGTGCCTCTGAACATGTTATATGAAAGGGTGCACTATATATATTCTGTAATAATAATAATAATAATAATAATAATTCCATTAGGGTTATTTCAAAACCATCTAAATGCATTTAGCTTACAGGTTTTATGTTTATAATCTTTCTAAACAATCTCTTATAATTTGCATGCAACTGTATAGCAACACCACTTTTATACATGTGGGTACGGTCATTAATTTACAGGTGCAAGTCACAAAACCATGACAATTAGGCCGCATTCCATGGGCACAAATTGTCGTTGCAAAAATATTTTCGTTCCTGCAAATCCGGTCTAGAAGAAATTTTGTAGGTGTATAGTTCATATAAAGATATTCGTTTTTTGTAATTTTCTCAAAAAAATTTCATAGTTCTTCGTTG